TATTTTGGTTTATAATTCGCATGAAAATTTGGAAAATTTGCTGATATCTTTCATTGCCTTTCTCACGCATAGGCAGCTTTATATTTGACTATTCAAAAGATTGCTCGGTTGCACCGAAAGAAGTTGACTACTTAAATCCAACGTGGAATCTCTCTTACCAACAGGTGCTGCTTTGGACTGAAAATACAATTGAAAAGTAGAGACTTTTTTTGAACGACCAACCCAGCGTTGCCCAACCGACCGAGGGGCGCGTCTGAGGGAAATCGAAAAATCCAACAGACCGGTGACCGAAAACCAGTAACAGACCGGACTGCGCTGAACCGGAAACCGATCGCGGAAGGTCCTGCACCAAAAAGCTGCAGCTTTGTTCATCAGCTGCTATAAAATTGCTTGGGGAAAAGAAGAGGGAATTTAATTAAATATTTAAAGCATTTCGTAAGTAGATTTAAATTCAGAAAAGCGAGTCAGAGGAATCAATGTTAAGGAAATGTGTATTAAAATCGTTACACAAAGATCTAAAAGGGCCGTGCATTTCAAAGTTTGTTCTGCACGAGCCCAATGAAAGGGACCTAAAGTGTCTAGAAGATCTTAAGGGGATGGTAAAGTTAAGTTCGCTAATTAGGAAAGGGCTTTTGATAGCACCTCTTATCAATTTAGTTAAAAATAAAACTCCAAGCATCTTTCTACAACTATGGAGTATAGGCAGATTAATGAGCCGTAAACGACTTTTGTAAGAAGGCAGGTTCTTGTTTCCCAACTTAAATTTCTTAACGCAAATAATAAGAATTACTTTTGTACAGATTCCAATTTAACACTATACAATTGATAGTACGGGCTCCATACGACTGAGCCATATTCCAAAATGGGCCTAACAAGTGAGTGAAAGATTAATTTGGTAATGTATGGGTCCTTGAATTCCTTAGCTCAACGTTTAATGAAAGCTAAAACTCCTTTTGCCTTATTAGCACAAGCATTTATATGATTTCTAAAATCTAGCTTGGGGTCCACTGTGACACCTAAAACAATGAAGTCAGTAACTTGCTCAACACTATGATTATGTATCATATAGGCAAAGGATTGGAAAGATTTTCTGGAGAAACACATATCTTTGCATCTGTTTAAATCGCATCGCACCACCTAAATAAATTATTTGGGTCAAATTGCAAAAACTTTCTATCTGAAATATAATGAACTGATTTTAAGAGCTTGACATTATTATTTTAGAATGAAGAACAACATTTGGAAAGTCATTGATGAATATAAGGAAGAGTATGGGACCGAGGTGACTGCCTTGAGGGACAACAGATATTACTGCTATTTCACTTGAGGTACAATTTTTAAAAATTACTTTTTGTTCTCTACCAATCAAGTACAACGAAATCTGCTTGAGAAGAGAAGGTGAAAACCCGAAATGATCGAGTTTAAAGTGAAGTAAAGGATGAGAGACCTTGTCAAATGCTTTGCTGAAGTCAGTGTAGATAACATATGTTTGATTACCAGTTTTGAAATCATTACTAACATGGGTGGTGAGTTCTAGCAGGTGCAAAACCCATGTTGTGAGATGTCTATAATTGATGACAATGAATGGGCTAGTTCAGTTTGGTGAAGATCTACTACCAGATTTATGCAGAAGTACAGCGTATGACTCTTTCCATAAAGAAGGGAACAAACTTTGCTTTAATGAAGCATTGAATATGTTCGTCAATGGTATATATAGAGATTCAGCACAAAATTTAAATATACTAGTAGGGATGTTATCTGGACCGCATGTGAATGAGCTCTTAAGGGCATTAAGATGGTGATTAACAACATCAACGGATATATGTGGTACTTTACTGCAATCAAAAAAAGGCATTAAGTAAGGCTAAATGAATGGCTGCAGTGTTGAATTGGTCTTCGGCACTTAATTAGATTCGAAAAAGGCTGCGAACATATCTGCGAATCTGTAACAATCGTTAGTGACTTACTCATTCATTTTCATAGATGATGGAAACCCAACAGTCTTACGTTTCGAATTAACAAAACCATAGAAGGACTTCGTATACGAATTAATGTTATTTTGAATTCTTCTCATCTACTCGTACTTCTTGTAATACGACTTATTCAAAATATTATACTTTTCTCTAACTACGGAATAAGCAACATAATCAGAAGTTTTGCCGGACTTTTTATAGAGCTTGAATAATATAGTCTTCTTATTTTTCAAGCCATTCAATTCTTTGGTTATCGGAACAATTTTTCAGACGGCAGAATGTACAGCGCTTGTGAAGTGAAGAACGCTTTCTTCCAATTTTCCGTCATACATTGGACAGTAAATTGTAGACAGAATTATTCGACTTTGAAGTAGATAATAAATAATTAAGATTAGGGGGAACATCTGAAGATAATTCGAGAGATGGATGATAACCATCTTCGGGCAAAACGAAAGCATGACAGCGACTTAAAGAAAATGACGAAACGTCATCCAAAAATATTATATCCAAAGTCTTTCCAGACTTATTATGGATCATATCTCATTCTCATTCTCATTCTCACCATTCACATGGATGCATTGGTAGCTCTTGCAATGCTTCTGGCTGATCTTCATTCTAAAATCGAAAATTCTGCTTATTTACTCACCCATTAAGCCAAAAATGAGCTTCGTCGCTGAATAAAATATTTTTTTAACTTTCTTAACAGAGCACGTATTTTGATAATAAAATAATTTGCAAGAAATCTATGGCTATTCAATGTAGGCAAGTGTAATCGCGACCTTCCGGGATCGATGTCGGGCTCAACACAATCCGGCCAGTACCTGCTTTTCGTTGGAGTTTACTTGTATTCTTCAGGCGCGCGCCTTTGGCCGACTGGGTGGGAGGTCATCAACGCTGGGTACCTCCAATAATTGGCGCTTAAGTTATCATATTCTTTTAATCTAAGCTCTGATTGCCCTACTCATTTTGAAAATCTTCAAGTTTCAGCTAAATTTTAATATTCATTCACAAATTTGATTTGCACTCTCTATGTCTAATATAGTCAGTGTACATATGTAGTATAGATGGTGTACATATGGACTATATTAGGTGTGTTCAACTAGAGCTTTGTGTGTAACGACATGAAATAATCTGGAGACTTATATGTAAATGTGTATACAATTTGACGAGATTAATTGTATATGGGCACAACAGACGAGAATCACGCTATGACCCATATGAATGAACTTTCTTTCTACTCCCTGCTTGATTCAAGATCGAATATTTTTAGAGGTTACATAGGTCTTGGAGGCCAAAAAAAAACTTATTTTCTCAAATTTTTTTTAAGAGATATTAAATAAAATATACAATTCATTTTATTTACATATAAAAGTATAATATGTGGACAAAATTTGATAAAAATTTGCATAAAAAATAGTGTAAGTTTAGGCGTCCACTAGAAAGTACTTTCGCGGTAGTCATGATAACTTTTTCAATTTTTGTCTGGAATCAAAAATCCAAATTTTTTCTCAAAGTAGGTGAATTTTCCTTGTCTGTGAACCAAGAAAAATTTAATAAAATAAAAATTGAATTTTTTGTATCATTTTTTTTACGACAAACGTCATTTTTGGCATAAAATTAGCTTGTATAATGAGTCGAAATCAAAGTAAAACAAATTCTTCATTCAAGGACTACAAAAACATGCTTAAAAGAAGTGTGGAAAATTTTAACTCGATCGCTTCTATAGGCGTTGAGAAATTTTCACTACCGATTTCGATAAAATGGTTTTAAGAAAAACGCGTTTAAATTTTCGCCATCGGTCAGGCCATAGCAAAGACGGCGGGCTATAAAACTCTCTAATTTCTACAATTTTGGCCCGATCGAATTGAAGCTTGGAGAAAATATTCCTGACACTTTGTACTTCTATACAAAAAATCATCAAAAAAATTGAGTTTTTTTTTGAAGCTTCAAGACGTATATATGTAACGCCTGAAGGCCTTAATCAAAAGAACTCAACGAAACTTGGTTGATATAGGTCCAGACGTAGGCTACCTACCTATCGCCACCTATCTCTCACATATCATGTCTTCTTTTTGTGTTTGATTTGCGGACTTAAAATCAATTTTAATCGAACATCTAATGTTTGGGGCCACACGAACTTAGTCTTTCTTACTCGTGTTTGTAGCAACGCGTGCGATTCCGGTGTCTGATAGTGAGACATGCGTCTAAAAATATCTCATTAATGAAATTTTTATTAAATAAAAGTATAAGGAAATTATTTTAAATTCTAAAATACACTATTTAAACATACATACATACATTTTATATATTATATTTATTCAGGTATTTGTTATAACTCATGATTTCTCTTACAATCAAAATATTGCTAAACAAATTTTAATTTCCTTGCGATTTTTCTTTGTAAAAACTGAGAGCATAACCTAAAATTACATGTGTATGTGCATATATTTGAGGGTAGCGGCAAGGTGTAACCCGATGCTTTATACTGAAACGTTCGATAAACAAAACATGGATGTATAACTGATAACAGTGTACATACAATACATACATATATACATCTTCGTCTGAAAATTCATTTTTCATAATCTCAGCACATTTTGTCTCAGTTGATTATACATATGTATGTATATGCATACATAAATAGTCTTTATCTCCATAAAATACTCGTTTATATAAATATATGTATGCATTTGATTTTGTTTGTTTCTATGTACTTACGCGCTGTGAAATTATTCAGATATACATATATATATGTATATATATTTAAATACAATAATATTGATTTAAACCTAAACGAATAGACAGACTTCATATCAGCTGAGCCCAGTCAAGGGTCAAACTGCTCCATATCAATGTTTCAGCGTGACAAAAGTTCGTGTGTGCTCTCTCTCTCTCTCTCTCTCTCCTTATCTCTCTCTCTCTGTCTCTCTCTTTATCTCTCCCTCTAAATGTCTTTCCCAACTCCTGCAATCAGTCGAATAAATCAGCTGATTCTCTATTGCACCGTGCGAAGAGCTATTAATTGCCTTTGGTATCAATCAAAACCGGTCAGTCTCATTTCGCATTTCGGATCGTGCAGCCTACTTGTGACATAATTGAAATCAATGTCGTTTTTCAAGATTTGCATTTTATTAGCAGCGTTCTCGCTTAGCCTCGCCGAAATTGTAGATTTCAAGAAGTGCGGTGATGTTGACGCCTGCACCATACAAGAGGTACGCGTCGATCCTTGTCCACAGGCTAGCGAACATTTGGCATGTCATATACGTCGCCGCCGTCCGGCCACTATGTCCTTCGACTTTACGCCCAATTTCGTTGCGGAGACGTTGGAAGCCAGTTTGTCGTGGCAAAAGAGTGCCACACAAGACCTACCGTTGATCACGATGGATAAGGAAGCATGCAAGTATACACCGTGTCCGACTGTGGCCAATCAACGTCAAACCTACACGATAGATGTGCCAATCGAAAGTAAATTCCCGCTTAATCCCTACACAATCAAATGGACACTGAAAGCGCCAACGGGTCAGGTGTGCTGTTTTACCATCGATATTAAGGTGGTGCGTTAAATGAAATGAAATGAAATGACGATGGCGTATGGCGGCGAGATTGACGATTTTAATTATTGTATTTGTGAAAAAAGTCTTACCTTGATGTTGTTGTATTTTTTGTGTGTAAACGCCTTGAATTAAATAAATCTCATAAATTTTGATGTCGGCTTAATTTATGTTAATTATTAAGAGATTTTGACTTAGAAGTTGTGAGAGAAATTGTGAACACATTAAGAATTTCGGTGGAGTTAAGTAAAAAGCGCCAAAAAGCATGCTACAAAAGTCATTGAAATTGTGAAAGCAATTACAAAATAAGCGACAAAGAGAAAATAAATGATATTTTAAATTCTTTAACGTTATTTTTCTAAGAACATTTACTTCATTTAACAGTATTTATTTATTGCCCGTAACGTCCTCAAAGTAATTCCCAAGCTGCTTGTAAGACTAATTGTAATTTGATCTAATGTGCAGTTAAATGGCATATGAGGTGGAGAGGGGCTGAGGCGAGTAGTTTTTAAGGCATACATCTGAGTATAATCAAAATTATTAAGCTTTTGGGAGAAATTTTATAAAAATTAGGGAAAAGTAAAATGTTTCATTATCAGCCACAGAATTAATTGCTTTCTGCCAGTTATAATGAAGCAACGAAAAATAAACCAAAAATATTTTTTTTTCCAACATATACGAGGGGATTAACAACAGTTCGGTGAGTTGACCAGAAAAAAACAAAAAAAAATCTTTTTTCTATTTTTCAGTACTTTTATTCTTTTTATCTTCTCTACAAAAGATGCATTGATTTCAATGTATTTCTTAAGCCTATAGATTCACTTCCGAAAACAGTTTTCAAAATCTTTCTTTAAGCTTATGAAGTTCAACATTAACCTTAATTATCTCCTCGCCGCTATCAAAGACCTTTTCTTTTAAATTTTTTTTCAACTTTTGGAAATAACCAGATATATCCGGGGTATATGGTGCTGGACTTATATCTTCGATCTCAGAGATCGCAATAAAATTTCTTGTTATTTCAGCAGTGTGGGATGGCGCGTTGTCACGATGTAAAAATCCTCTTTCTTCCTGTTTTCCAACAAATTTTTGAAATATTTTTGTTAAAGCTTTTTCGGTGCATCATTTTGCAGTTGTCGTCTGACTCTTTTTCAGTGGACTAGCAGCTACGAGCTTAGACCGAATGTAGGGTGAGTTTGCTCCTCTCGGGCTCAACACCGTGGACTGCTGTTTGGTTTCTGGAATGTACTTATAGAACCAAGTTTCGTCACCAGTGAGGACTGTACTAAGGCTGCTGGACTGACCATTTCACATTTGTTTCGGGAAAATTGAGCAAAATGCACTCCAGCATCCATCCCATCGAGCAGATTTCTTCATGTATCGCAGATGCTTACTTAATATTCGCCACATAGCCATGGCGTTCCAGATCAATTCATTAGTAATCATTTCTTGTGTCAATCGTGGGTCTTCCTCAATTTAGGACTCCGCCAGAGCTAGAGTGGCGTCATCAAAGGAAGGTTTTGTTCGACCTTCTCGGGACTGCTCATCTGCGGAAAAATATCCCACCTGGAATCTTCTTAACCACTTGAAAATAGTGTTTAAAGCCGTTGCAGTCGTTGCATATGCAATTTGGCATTCACTGAATATTCGAATTGACTGTAAATTACGCAGAACCGCGCGTCTAGGGTAAGCGGTCACCTAACTCGGGGTATTTATAACAGTTATTTTTTTTTTCAATATTCAACTGTCAGTTGTTTTAAAAATATCGGGAGGGATAAGCTGGAATCACAACAGAAAGCCAAACGGTTTTCTAATGGATTTGCTCTCCTGCTGTTCTCTGGTTTTAAAGCCGGAGCATACTTACGGACGACTCAAATTGGTGATTTTATTACTGCTGTCTAGATATACTGCATTTATGGAGAAAATACTTCTTCATTCTGCTTGGCCGAATCGGACTCTCCTATCGATAACAACACAATATGCGTTTCATAATCCGAATATGAGGAAGTACGCATAGCCCAACTGAAGAACTTCAAAACGGCGAGCTTCGATAGATTTTGGGCAGAGTTGTTATGGCGGCGAAGCACTGGCAACATGCAGAATATGATCGGACGAAAGCATGTCCCTACACAATCTGCACGAACGAAAGCCTACTCAATGTCACGAACTCAGCGAACTGAGTGAAATACAACAGCCCACCAACAATGTACACACTAGACCATATCAGTTTGTGCTCAGACAGATTTCACGAGCTATTCACCAAGCGTTAAATCTTGAAAAAGACCCGTGAGAAAGTGTTCGACACAAACCGCCTTCTCTTTCATTTTAAAACAGCCTTTGAATGTATGAAAAAGAGTCGCTCCAACACCGCTATGACCAAATTTGTATTCCGGCTGTGTGAACTAAAGTTGAGCAACATCACAAGCCTTATAAAAATCTGCATGTACCTCCCTGAGTCATTAGATTCTTATCTAGATTTCTGACAGGATGATTCTCCATCGTGCAACTTCACTTGGAAATACTAGCTGAAGAGTGAATTGGTTTCATTTGTTATTACCTACTGGCTCTGAACAGCGAACAAGGAACAAATGACGCCAGTTAATTTTCCAAAGCCCATCAAAGGAATGCTGTTTCAGAATGAAAATGAAAAATTTGTTACCTTCTCTCTCCACTTAAGGCTTGGTAGGAGTCTTTTAAATCAGGATAGTTCTAGATCATGTCGTCAATCAAGATCACAGATTAAAGTCCATGGAACTGCTGCAAATAAGAAAGGAATCAACTGTGGAGCGTTCCTTAGTCGGATATATTTTTACAAGGACTTTATGGAATAGTTTAGGCTATGACAAAAGCGTATTTTTTTAGTCCCATGAAATTCTTTCTTTAATTATAGGTTCCAAAGTGAGATTGACGACTCAACTTCATTTCAGAGCTGCATCGAGAGGGATAAGTAAAACTAATAGGAGTATAAGCACTCTTCTTCTCCAGAGTAGCAGTCAGCAGATATCAGCCTCAGATTCAATTTATTTAAGTCGAAGCTGTTGGCGCCGCGTTTTTTAGGTAAAAACGAAAAAAATTAGAAAACTGACGAAACTGTGCAGTGTTTAAAACAAGTGGGTTGTTGAATGATGCCCATCAATTCTCCAAGTGCAGTCTTGCGATTGAGAAACCCTCAAAAAAAACTCTAAGGCGGAGTCGACGTTTATGAGTGAGTTGTTTACAATTTAAATATCGCGTTGCATTTGTTTTTTTTTGTTTAATTTTCCACAGCAAGTGTATGTATGTGTGTGTATAGAATTTCATAAAATAAAATGTGCGTGATGTTGACGATGATTATTACTGCGCCCGGTGTTGTTGATAACTGCCAGCAATGATTTGAAGAGATTCTTCTCAAATGATAAACATCTTGAGATGACAATGAGCTAAAGTGCGGAAAGATGAGTGAAGTGAAAAAGATACAAATTTAAAAAAGCAAAAAAAAAAATTCAAATGCCGAGGGCGGTTTGCGGTCGAGAGTGAAGTCAAGGTGTGTGGTGTCTGTGGTAAAGGAAGGAAAAATGTTGACAAATGTTTCTAATTTTTATTACGTTTGTTCAGCGGCCACACAATAAGACCCGTGGGACATGCAACAACAGCAGCAACAACAAATAGCAGCGTTGCATTGGCTAACTCGGGGCTGCGGTTTTTGGGCCATACAAATCTCATCTAACTAATTTCAATGTTTTTTCGTAATCTCAATCGTAAATTCCTATTTTCATTAGAGCGGAAGGCAATTCACATTAATGTGCGCGCAGAAAGAATATTTTATTTAATTTTTTTTATTTATACATATTTTTACAATAGCCTGTCGTGGAAGTCATAAGGATAATACTAATAATCATTTGTGTTTTGCTTACAAAAATTAATTGCCGAATGCTATGATTGCCAAGAAGTACAAATAAATATATGTACATACGAGTATGTACATATGTATATTATTTATGTATTTTTGTAATACTTTTATTAGTTTCCAAATTTTGCTTATACCACAGTGAAATTTCTTTCCAAAGGTATATCGGTTTTGTTGACTCAATATTTGGGAATACATTTAGCAACAAAAATGTAATATAAAGGGTGATTTTAAAGACCCATAGGAAAGAAGAAAAAAAAAACAAAATTCAAAAAAAGCATGAAATCTTTATTTGAATCCATAGTACGGTCTATATAACTTAATGTTTGAAGATTATTTCATGCAAATGTTCACCGTGACTGCGCCTCAAATGGTCCATCCGCTTAGTCTAATTTTGGCATACTCTTTCCAACACATCGGACGGTGTCTTACAAATAAATGCTTCAATGTTGTCCTCCAATGCGTCAATTGAAGCGGACTTGTCTGTTGAGACATTAGATTTAACATAAGCCCACAAAAAAATAGTTTAAAGGAGTTAAGTCGCACGCTCTAGGTGGCCAATTGACCGGTTCCGAACGTGAAAAAAATGTTCACCGAACTCGCCTCTCAATAAGTCCATTGCTACGCGTGCTGTGTGGCATGTGGCACCGTCTTATTGAAACCACATGTCATGCAAGTCCATCTCTGGTGTTTTGGGCAAAAAAAAGTTTAATATCAACTCACGGTAGCGCTCACCATTCACAGTTACGTTACGATTCGCATCATCTTCGAATAAGTACGGTCGAATGATGCGATCAGCCCATAAACCGCACAAATCTCTGGCCTTTTCTGGATGCATTGGTAGCTCTTGCAATGCTTCTGGCTGATCATCGCACCCATCAAGCCAAAGCTTAGCTTCGTTGCTGAACACAATTTTTTTACACGATTTCTGAAAGAAAGGCTCTTGTGATCATGATTTCTTTTTCTTATTGAATAATTTAAGTGCTAAGTTGTTTGGAACCGATCTTTAGATACTTTACATCTCAATTAGTACTACATCCGGACCTCTGCCACTTGTGCAAGAACTTTGGTTCCTATCCAAAGCACAATAACCACCATATTTTGTTGAGTTCTGTTGATTAGTTTGAAGTGACAAGTCATATCCTTACTAATAATACTAATGACCGAAATTAGTATTAGGATAAATAACAAAACTTTTGTTACAGATTACAGATTAACAAAGAACGAGTTGGAGAAATTTTACAAATGCTCACACCGTTCGACATGGAGTGACAATAAAGATTTTTTTGTTATGTCAAAATGTTGTGGATTACATTTTCAACCGCATTAAAACAGTTGATGCAATTTGGTTTTGTCAGTAAGACCCAGATAA